GGTGGAATTTTACAATTTAATTCTGCGCAATCGATGCTTAGTTGTGACTTGGTGGTCATTGAATTCAGTGGAAAGGTTTTTTGTCTGACAATGTACTAAAAGACCAAATACTTCATCACCTCATCCACAGTAATTACACAGTTACCCATGTACATTTTTTCTTGCCTTTTTTTTTTTGTTTGAAATAAGACACACATGATATGCTATTTTTTATTTCCAAGTATCAAGTATTCAAGAGTTTGTTTTGTAAACACATGTTTACAACAGATGCTGACAGTAGATTTCATTAAGTCATGGGTTATACAGCTACAAAATTATTCTAAGCTCTGCTGAGAAATAAATATCAATTAAAAAAACCTCAAACCATATAGAAGCTTAAAGTATGCAAAAAAACCAGCACAAACCAATTATTCTCTTTTTACCACAGCACAGCACACATACACTCATACAGTCAGACATACTCTACAAATTTCCTTAATACTCTACACATTTGCTTAATAATGAGTTTTTTAAAAACTAACCAGTTACAGGCAGTGTGCCCACTCCATTCTCTTAAGATACTACCCAGACTGTTGCTCTTCTGCATAAGTCATTTGGTAGAGGTATGCACTGCAGCCAAGGGCAAAACTCCCATATGCTCAGCTGGGGAAAAGAACAGGTCTTCTTTTGAGGAAAGCCTTCACTTAACCATGGATCTCACTGACACAAAATTATTTTCTTCTTTTTTTTTATTGAAACTCAGCTCTGGATCATTTTGTACTTCTTGTTTGTTTGTTTTATTTTGAAACTTCCCTCCACAATTTCAAATACAGAGTTTGTTACAGAGGTAAAATTTCTGGCCTGTCAGCAAGAAGTGTAATTAGTGCTATTAGTGCTCTTAGTGCTGTTTAGGATACAGATACCTGTTCTGCATGAGTAGTCCAGGCACAATAACACAAAATAATTGCAATTCAAAATGGGAGGGAAAAAATTTTGTGTTCAAGATTTTAAGCCCAAAAACGTCTGTTTTAAATCGTAGCTCACCTTAAAGTCAACCAGATTTGGCCTTTTTCTTATTGCTAGAGATAGAATTTACTCTTATTCTACCCCTCCTTTCTGGTATTCCATGAAAGAACATTCATATTTCAGATGTGAATCCTCATTTTAATTCAAACCCTTACTAACATTGCTTGGTTAAGGGGTGCCAGAATTTAGCCCAGTGTTTCTTGCCATTACTATAGAATTTATATTTAGCCTTTGCTTAAGCAAAGCAACTAAATACAGTAATATGCTACAGCAGGATGAATACATTCTACATAGATTTCTGTGGCCTGTATAGCTTTTACCTTAGCTATTAGTGCTGGGCCAAATCCTATACTGCCTTCTTAAATTACTCTCCCACAGAAGAGCTAGGTAGGAATTGGCCCACCAGGAATTACAAACACTGTCTTTGCTGGAATAGTCCAGACTTTAAGAACAAAAACACATGCAGTTGTATCACTGACGTGCCTTGAATATGCCATTTAAGTCATTGTGAATACATCATAAAATACTTCAGTACCTATTAGCACCACAGTGTTGTTTAGTCATTTGTCCAAAGATTATCAAGCTTATTTACCCTTCTCAAGGTGAACAATGTTTTG